TAAAGACAAAATAAAATTTGGAAAATTCGGCACGGAACGTAACGCGACGAATCTCGTCCATTTGTCTGGTTTTTAATTAATTTTATTCCCCGGGGTATGAATTCTCCGCTCATTCGGAAAACTGTTTGAATCGGCGCTGAATTGCCATTCAAACGCACAATTTCATTTTTGAAATTTCGTGGCATTTGAAGTATCCTTTTACTAATTAACACGTATGTCTCCCGTGTTAACAGTTGCATAATGAAATTCAACGTTCTTAACAAAAATATATGAAAGCGTAGATAGGAAGAATGTTCACAATCGCGAATCGAAACATCCGTGGTAAATAAATTTTCCTACACAAAACGTGCCACGTATCACGCAAAATAAATTAACTATTACCCAGCGCGAGGAGGTTAAAAGCGAAACAAACGCAAACTATGCCAAAATCCCTACGGAGCAATAAAGCGAAATAACATCGAATGTTGCACGGTAGGTCGAGTATAATTGCAATTAAATTTCACCGTGGAACTGGTGGCTATCCGAAGGAAAAATAGACGGATAAAAATTCTCTAACTCTGAGCAAAATGAATTTGAAAAATTCGCAAATATGCCGGACCGCGGATCGATAGAAAACAGCAGCCGGGAGCTGGGATCGGGCCCATCACTATCTGTGTCGGACGAAACGGCAAGAAGGAAGGAAGGGAAACGAGAACGAGGGTAACAGCGGGGTGGCTAGGGGAGGTTAAAGCAGGAATTGCACGCGCAAGCGCCATTTTGCAAACATGGCCAGCCATCTTGCGATGCGTACCGCTCGGATACCGGAGGTAGGGGTAGGAATATAACCGCTCTTGGTATCGAACTGCGCTTCAGTACCTACGGAGATAGAGACAGGCATAGAACGTCCTCCGACACCTCTGCGATCGCTGCGCGGTTCTTCTTTCTTGTCTTATTGTCCTTCGACACTTCGTAATTCACTTTTTTTTTTCCGCCACGACACTCTTCCAAATCAAGTATGGCAGCCGCACGAAAAAAAAAAATAACAGTTCACCGCGATCGTTGCGAGTCGGTGTGCAACGAAACGCATCGCCTGGCATCTCTGCGCACAGAGGAACGGAAAAGACGGGCATGTAACAATGTCTTCAGAAAACGCTTTACCACCGCCGCGTGCCTCTGTCTCCATTTCTCTCTCGATTTCGCTCTCTTTTCATCCTCCTTTTCTTCGTCCCTGAATTTCTTCAATCGAGAGTCAATATTCCGTAGACGGTTGCTTGCGGGACGTAGATCCGATTTCAAGTACAAATTATAGTCTGTTACGAGCATTCATTTTATTTTGTTTTGAGTTGTAGAGTCGTAGAAAGAATGAAATGTAACGGGATAGAAGTCGAGGGTTGGATGTATGTCAAATTTTGGAAAAAAACTTATTCGGTATGTCAAAATAATGTCTCATACGTCCAAAACGAAGGTTGCATGGTGTCTTGAATTATCGAGCATTGAGTATTTTCTTTGAAATTTCTTCTGGCCTGTAGGGAATTAACATAAGGAAGTAAATAATTAATGAAAGATATAGAACAGATATCGAGCATGGAAATTTTTCATCGCTTCCTACGGGCAATAAGAAATCTAAAGAAAAAAGCTTGATATTTGATAGCCTGTATCATTCATCAACAGAATATTTGCCTGTGTGCTTTAATTCTATTTTAATTACTTTCTTCTAAACAGTAAGTTTCGCTTCACTTTTATTTTTTATCTTACCCAACCCTCGTCTTTGACCTTTCGCTCACTTTTTGGATAACAGTTTCTCTATCACTCTTTGGCTGACTAATTTTGCTTGATTCCGTTAACGTCTATTGGCCAATATTATGTGCTACATTACGTGTTATTCAATGTATTACACAGCTACATAAACATAATTGAAGAAATGCTTACGCCAGACTATGATTTCGATTATAAATTTGATTAGCAGTCGCTTGGGCGCCATGTGAAATTGAAATGTTCTGGGAAAGAGGAACGTCGTCTGACAGATTCGAAATCGCTTGTTCGGATCGAGCTCTCTGATCAATCGCGTCTCGATTCGCGTTTAATTACAATTTTCGCTCCGTGTCTAATCATCCCGCGTCCCGACATTCTGTGATCATCCAACCTAGAAGCCAGCGAACTTGACGAATTAATAATTTCCCTGGCAGTAACAACGACACGTTCTTTTTCAGACGATACTTCACTCGTTGCTCGCTAGTCCTTACCAATTAATAATTACATAACTTCTTCCAAAGTGTTACTGCTCGACAAGGATCTCGACAACTGGTCGAGAGTTCCTTAGCGAAGTATATTCTTGCTACCGAAGAAACGATCAATTTTCCGCCAACTCCCAACGAAATAATTAAATAATATTGTGACCAAAAAGAACCTAGATTCGTCTGCATTCAACGTTACTCCGCGTTAAATTCTACCATAAAATCGTTGGATTCGTTTTGCCAGGGGATTTCACCGATTTCATTCCCAATTACGTATATTAATTCTCTAAATCATGGCTGCTCGTTCGTCGAAAGTGTTACAAAGCGTGCGCTGAAAACGAGGTTATGCACGCGTTGCGAAAAATCGATACCGAATATTGGACCGAGATTCCCAGTCTGACCGCTGCTTGACGCGTTTCACTTAAAACGTCGACGGGCTTCATTTTTCAGCGGTTCGCGCTGATCTGTTCCACCCGGCACGGTCATTTGATTCTCGGTGCAAACTGGGTTTCCGTCGCATTTCGAGCAATTCTTTTAGCCTCTCGGAAGTAACCGAGCGAGACGAGTTCTGGTCGAGTGACGAGATACGATCAAACGAGGGACTTCGAGTTGTTGAACGCTTGGAAAAAATTATCGCGAGCTGATTGTGACGGTATGTAGACGTTCGGAGATGTTTCTTCAACGCCATGTTTTCGCAGATATTGATTTTACCACGCAGTTACGAACCTTTATCGAAATTATTCAAAGTGTTGCGTCGTCTTTCAAAGAGTATTATTTCTGATCGACAAAAAATGTTTAAACGCGCGACTAAGGAATGTCTCGGTAAATCGATTAGTCCAACAATGTCTCGCACCGAGGCAACGATTAATTTCTAGGCAACAAAAGTGTTGATTGAACGCGATCAACGATTAACACGGTTCGTACATCGTTCGCAACCGGCCAATTAGGAATTTCGTCATTGTTCCGAAGTCCCGTTTGCTCTAGAGCAACGCGATTCGAGTTTTCCGACCTCGATTCGAGTTCTCTACCTGTTGCACGTTGCTTTCATAGGAAATTACCTTACCGACATATTGAACATTGTCATTTCTGTCTATAGACGGTAATCCTGTTCAGGAACGTGCCACCACTGGATTACAACGTTTATCGACACCTTTTCTGCCTTTTCCATCGTTATCGTCACTTTTATACGGGCGTGATAGAATCGTTACTTCCTTTCCGCTGTTAACGTACTCGCTGTAATAATACGCTCGACGTGGTGTCATTCGATTAACTGGCTGCCTTTATTTGTCCGGAAATTACGGCTGCTGGTACTCTATCGGGGACAGAGATTTTCGTTAATGTTTTCTACGATTTTTATTCGATATTCGTGGGTGCTCTAGGAAAAGTGCTACAAGTATTGCGTGAAAGATTATTGACGAAATGCGGTACGTAGAGCGCAAGTTTAGAGAGGATTCGAGACTTTGAAATCGGGTGAAAGTGAACATTTGGAAAAATAATAGTGATAGTAATCGAAAAAGAAAGTGAATTTCATTTCGCGTTGCATTAGTGTGGCATCCATTTTGAGAAACGAACGAAGGTTCTGGAAACAGTGAAAATATTTTAAATTTCATAGAGATTGGAATATCTACAGGGATTATCATTACTATTTCCGTAATTTCGCGTTACTTGTTATTTGTAGAATATTAGTGTGTTCGTCGTTAAAGTGATAGGAACATAAAGAATCTCTGTGCATAAATTAAACGACGTTATTGATTTATGCATGTCCTATTCGAATACTGCAATTATTTAACTAGTTCATTCAATTATCCTTGTAGATTGTTTTCAACATTTTGTAACACGCTTTACTGTATATTTCGTTCAATTTGAAAAGCTAGTTTGTGCCTTCGATTGAATATGGATGTAACTCTCTATTGAACCGATAGGAAAGTCGAGAATCTCTATGTACTTATTAATTTATATCAAATTGAGTACTTGGTATTAAATTGAGTTACGAGTATTCCGAGAAACAAATTCAAAACGATGAAATTTAATTCTAATTTGTGATGTCGATTTTAATCTGGTAATTCATTTGAGCACACAAAGACAAACAATATTCCTTTCATTTTTAACCATTGGATTGTGTACTTTGTAAGAATTCTTAATTTTACAAAAGTCTTGTCGAATAGAATGTTATTTAAACTTGTTTCCTGAAATGTCCATGATTCGTTATGATCACTTTATAAAAATTCTTATTATCCTGGTACATATGCACTGGTCACAATAATTAGAGATTCGTATAAGATCATTGCCAGCTAATTGCAAGTTTTTATATGAACAGTCCATTCGATCGTCCTCATATTTTTTGGCATAATGACACTCTATATAAATTATTTTATATTTCACTCGTGTATCATTTAGTGAAATTTCTATGGTACGCGAGTAGATCGAAATAAAGTAACATGAATTATAGTTAAATTTCTAATTAGTCTTCACAATGTGTCGTGAAAGTAACGTCGCAGGAATTTTCGATTTTCCCTTGATTTTGTGCTTTAATTAACATCATTGGCTCGGGGTGGGTGGAGTTTCACGTTTTACTTTCTTTCACTGGTGTCATTCTGGTAAACGCCATCGCGTCAAGGAAATTAATTTTGTTTCGTAAAAGGATACTAAGTATCTACCTGTTGCACCCAGCTACGAGACGAGACGAAGCTCGATCGTTTTTGGAGAATCGCGAAGGGGTAAAAGGTATGCGCGTGCGAGAGCGAGAGAAAGAGGGACAAATGGGGAGAGAAGAGGAGATAGCGAAAATTGGCGAATGAAAAATTTTACGCGTGTACGCGTAAGAAGAAACCTGTTGGTACTTACGTCGCTGGATTTGCAAATTGTTGCTGGCCACCCCCGAGATCTTTCGACTTTTCGATTTCCGGTGTCGTCCCTTTCCCAGGTATGAGCTCAATTTTCGAACGAAAGCAACCTTTGCGCCCTTATCGGAGGACTATTTACGGATTTCCTTACAGAGAGTCGGAAACTATGCAAGCACTGTACCTGGGCTCTTATGAAATTTGTAGTAGTCAGTTTATTATTGCGATGCAAATCAAGATGTACAATAAAATGATACTAATCGTGTTAATACGTTAATACGACGCCCATGGATAACTGGGCTTTCCACGAGGGAAATAAAAATATTAATCCTGAAGGTGACATACTTATTAAAGAAATAATAAGAATTATTAAATATTTAGAAAATAATTAGAATTCGTGAATGACAATGAACTCGTAAAAATAACAATACACTCTTATTTTGGTACTATTGGTTCATACAATACGTTTATTTTAATTTGTTCAGTTCCATTTAAATCTTTCAAGTATCTCAAGCTCCTTTTATACGTAGCTACTACTTTCAAATTCTCAATAGACATTTAATTACGCTAAAGAATACCGTAAATCTCCCACGAGTTTTTACCCCACAGTCTGATCCTTTAAACACTTCCCCGTCTGCCCAGTAATTCCTTTTTAATTACAACCCCTGAGACGTCTTATCCCGCGGCAACGGTTCGTCGATATTCCTTTGACTTCGATATAAAAATTTGCTCGGATATCGTTTCAATCCCTTCGGAGTTGTTTCTTCGGCTCATCTCCTTTCCCGAGAACATTTGTTTTCATTTTACTGGCGAATGTCTCGAGATTTCTCGGTTTATCCTCTCGACTGTTCTTTGCAAGAAGAATATCACCTATTTATTTATGTATGTACAAGACGTTCAGAAAAGGGTTTTCAATTCAAGAGACGCATAGTACACGCTCAATCGAGCAGAAGACGCTTTTTCCCTTCTTCTGCTCGTTTTAAGCACCGTGTAAACAAACGATCATTTCATGGTATTCTTACTTTTGTGTCTATGCAAGCTCTAACGATAAGTATTCTCAGTATTATTTCCACTCTTGCGCACGGTCTTCATATTTTTAAATTACGAAACATTTTGTACGTGTAACGAACATTTATTAACTTTTACATGATCAATCTTAACGTGTCATTAATTTTGGTTGTTAGTCGGTAAACAGGATGAACAGAAATATTTTAGAACAATTAAAGAACAATGATTACATACGTATTTCTAATAATTCACTAATAAGTCAGTCCTATAAATATTCGTATCATCCATGTCTATTAAAGAAATTTTTCATTATAAATATGTATAACGAAACATAGAGGGTACGAATATTTATGGGACTGACTCTATATCAAAATTTTACCAAATAATTTTACTATTTTTCGTAAGAAGACGTATAGATTTAATTACATAACGTCTCTGATAACCTATAACAATATCGATGACGGTTAGCAGTACTATTAACCTGAAACATTAAATGCCTTTCAATTGTCTGCAGAAAAAAAAAATTCGATCCATAAAGGGTTAAATGTAAATTCAACACAGATATACTAGGAGGACCAAAAAGTAATAAAAATGTCTTCGACTTGAAAAAGTTTTTCAATAAAAAATCGAAGGACTTTTTTAAGAAAGGAATCGAACAACTGCGTTTACGCCGACACAAAGTGTTAGAAAATAATGGAAATTATTTCGTTGATTAGTTGATTCTAAGATTTCTTTAACAAATAAATGTTGATAAAATTTCGATCACTTTTCGATCCCTTTGATACATTCTCAGATAACCCATGGCTAGACTGCGGATCTTTATGCATTTATAGGAAATTTGAATGTGCAAGAAACTACAAAATGCAAACAACATGCAAGATTATAAAAAAGATTGAAAGTAAAGTTCATGTTATAATATTTGCAGAATAAAATAAATTCCTATTTATTTTATTTCGCGAAGATTTTATTTTTCATAAAGATCCGCAGTCCACCCATGACACATAATGTCTCAAATGATAAACGGTGCTCGTACAAGTATTCTCGAAACATTATTTCCCACGCCATGGCATTCTCGTCGAGTTAGGACGTGAATGGTCGCGAAGGGATCTCAAGGCGCAACAGCCTTCTCGAGCAGCGCAGTTTTCCTAGCGAGGTTTGGCGAAGGGCTCGCTCATTCATTTTGTAAAAAGACGCCGCGACAGAATGACGGTGAAAAAAATTCGAAATATCCGTCTCTGTGAGTTATGCGGAAAGAGCGGACTCACCTGTTGCGCGTTAATTCGACGCCAGGGAAAGAAGCGAGGGCGGAGGGGAGGGTAAAAAAAAAAAGGAAGATCGGCGTCGCTTCTTTCGTGCAACATTTAAACAATTCTCTTCGACGCGGTCATACACGACCTGTTGCGCCGTTAATTTAATGAAAAATTCAACCGAGTGCCAGCCTCGCCGTCGGGGCGCCCTGCGCGTCGTGGAATTTCGTGGCGGACGTGCAAAGGACATCTTCAGGAATGTTTTTTATACGGACTTCATTCTTCGTGTCGAGTACCCGGGACGCGTTGAAAGCCTGAAGATTCCGTCGAATGAAAAGTCCAGAGTCTTGAAGAGGTCGCGTTGCTAATTTGTTAAGCTGCTGCCTCTTAAACGTCACCTTCCTCACATACCCCTTTCGATGAACGGAAATTCTTGGCAAACCTTCTTCAGGTGGAATTTAAATACTCGTTTATTCGATAGAATCTGTGGTATTTGACAGAAAGTGGAAAATAAAGTTTCAGGTCTTCTATGGGCGTTATTAGAGGTGGCTAGTTTTATTCTAAGTCTATCGTTAGGATTCTTTAATGCGGTTTCGAGGAAAGGAAAAGAGATTAAGAGAAGGAAATGGAAAAATCAGTTGGAATATATATTTCAGGAGTGATCGATAAGGAATCTTTAATTAATATTAATGAACTCTTGCAAGCTTGTAATAGCTTGCACTAATAAAAACAGTAAAATTTTTTCTATTTGTATAATATCTTGAGAGTTACTAGGAGGTATTATTAACCCATTCACAGCCAACTAAGAGATGTCTCGTAGTTCAAATTGATTGCAATTGTTCAAGAGATAAATTTTGAGTCACGAATTATTGCAAAAGAAGATCGTGGATTTTCTTTTTAGAACAACAAATTTAATATCACTTTTTATTATCAAAATAATAACCTAGGTTACACATCTGTATTAAATCTTAGATTTAAAGTAAACAATTTAATTCAACTAAAATTTAAAAAACAAACAGATATGAAAGTGACAGTATTTTTATATTATACGTACAAAATCATAATTTAATTTTAATAAAAAATATACTTATTGATACACTTCTTTACACTTCTTTTGAATAACACACGCGAAGAACCTAAAATAAAATAAATAAATATTCGCTAGTTTTTTTACGTTACGATGCTATACTATTGCTTAACAATTCCGTTAATTAAATTACCTTTGACCGCAGATGTTGAAGCGAGCCGAATCGTTACCATTTCTTTGCTCTTCGACTGTTGCTGATCGATTAACACCTGGACCGCATTTCCCAGCCGGATGATTTTACATCAACGAAAACTCGTCGTGCAGAAAAGAGGAAAGAAGTCTGAGTGGCAGCTGTGGTGAGTCAACGTTAATTTTGAAACCATAATAATTACTGAACCGTGGATATTTATGCATTCATGGCAAATGTAAATATAAATATTCAACGACTTGAACAAATTCATAAATATACAAAATATAAAAAGAAAATTCATATTATGACATTTGGAAATCGAAACATACTTTAATTTAAGTTTCTGATTTTCATTTATCTATATAGAGATATGAATTTGCATAAATATCCACAGTTTGTATGTAGGAATACAATCTGTTTTTTTTTGTTTAAAAAATAAAGCAGGACATTCCTGAAAATTTGTTCGTAACGTATAATATAGCACATTAGAAACTACATATTTCTTGGAAAGAATCCAATATCCAATTATACATCCTTTTATTAGTCTCTTCAGGAACGATTTGTTTTTGTTATTATCAAATTTTTGTTCTTTTTATTATTGACAGTAATTATAATTATAAAAAACTAAACGTCACACATTTGTGTCCAAGGGTGTGAAGAGATTAAAAGGTAAGTGTAGTGGTTTCATCTCGGCACTATATTATTCGTTGCATCGTATGTTGTACAACGCAGGCGAAAATGTTTAAACAATGCATCAACTTTCCAACGAACTGGAAACGTTTAATACGCTAAACGAGAAATGGCTCTCGCTTATGAGCGTCCAAATTTATAGTCTCAGTTACAATTTATATATTTCACGGTCCAAGTAACTCGAATGGTTTATCGATAAATTGTTTGCTGTATACGGTGTCGGTAGAAGATCTTAAGTAATAAATTGCTCTCAATTTATGGCTCGAGATTGCACAGTGGGTAACGTAAAACTATATGGAAAAGTTTACCATGGAAAAGTTTCATCTGATTAAAACACTTTCGTCCCAATAATAATTCCTTTATTATTCGAGATCTAATATCTTTAAACTCTGAGTAACGAAAAACGTTGAAAATCGCCTTTCCATTGTTGACGGGGGAAAACAAAATTGTATCGACGCCGCGAAAGGAGGCTCGTACCAATTTGAAGCCGGCTCAATTTTATCCGAGGTCAGGTCGGTAGGCAGTGCAGCGAAGCCACCGCAGGAATTTAATTTAACGAGCAATTTTTCCATCGACCTCGGCAACGAGGAGAATAAAGTTTCAGGAAGAAAAGCCTTGCCGGAAGCATCCGTGTTGGCATCGATCCGCTGGATGCCGTTTTCTGTTGCTCGGTTCATTCCGAAACGATTTTTTTCAAGGATCCTCCAAAAGACATCGACTATTTGGGATGGATAATAAACAGAGAATAAAAATTACATCTGCCAGGAGCAATTAGTGGAGATTGAGGTTACACACTTATATTTTGGGAAACATGAGTATTAGGGTTTGTCATTTCAGAGGAATTTCAATTTTGAATTTAAATTACAACTCAATGTGTCGGATAATTTATGAAAGTAAATAATGAATCTTCTTTTTTCGTCTAGTAATCTTATTCAAAATTCAAGAAAGTTTTCCCACGTATTTCGAATGGAATATCGAATTTTTGTGGACGGAATTCTTTTGTAATTAATTACTATATTGAAATATTGAAGTGCAAATCTTGACTTGAACATCAATAAATTTAAATCTTTTAACTTAATAAATATGACTGAGTAATATGAAAATCACTAACAATTGTGTCTCAAATATGTAGATCAAAAAGATTGTTATTAGGAAGACCAGAAAATAATGTCGTTTCTTTTACATTAAATTAAACCTGTATATGACGGCAAGCACGAACAAGCAACGGTCGTAATAAGCATTCGGCAACGATCAGGGATCCTGATCGCGAGTGATCCGCTTTGAAACGGCTCGTAAATCCGACGCGGGCTATTAAAGCCGCGCGGGTGTGATTCGAATTTAAGCGATCGTTCCTAATTATATGTCGCGTTTAATTGGAAATTTTTAATTAAAACGGTCGGGAATCGAAAATCAGACGCAGAGCTGCGGGCACGTAACGAAACACGGGCCATTAGGGAATGTTGCTGGATAATAAGGACACGCTGGAAGCGCGAAACGTAGTCGGATCAGCGACTAATAACAATGGCGCGAGGTTCATTTCGCCACTGGTTCGATTCGCGTTTGTTTTTTTCTCCTATCTTTATTTCTTTTATTTTGGTCGTTTTCGTGATAGTTTCGTGCCGCTATTGTATTCGAACACAGCAATCGGCTCAATCACACCCGAGCGTACAGATGCGCGCGTCCCCGCGATATTTTCGCCCGCGACAATAATCCCAATAGCAACGATGCGAAGCTACTCGAACGTCAGTTTCCATTTGCGCCCCCAGGAATTCGGGAAACACTGTAGCGTACCGTGCGAATCGCATCCATTCTAGATGAATCGAGCTTCGAATAATTCGTTGGCCTTTTCGCCTGGTTCTTCGCGCGACAAATGGTGAAATGCGAGGGCAACCGACGGCACCAGGAGGTTAAAAGGCTTCGAGGTTCGGTTTCCTTTCGATTTTACGATTCCCGGGTCCGTATCTTCGTTGATATCGATCAGATCTTGTCGTGGGATGAGGTACACCGGGTATTTCTCCTTTAAATTAAATACGGGTTTTAATACTATTTGGAGAACTATTAAAAAGTAGTATTTTTATATTTAAGTACACGATTTAAGGGGCTATTATTATGTCTGCGATCAGTTAGAGTTCAAAACGGATCAATGTACGATACCACCGGATACTTTATTCTTTTACGGACCACTACACTTTTGCACTTTCACTTTTGCACTTTACACTTTACACTTTACACTTTTCACTTTACACTTTGCACTTTACACTATACACTTTTTATATCTAACGATCTTATTACAAGTTCGCAGTCATTAGCTCGGTATTATTCGCGACGAAGGATTGTTCGTCACGAATAATATCGATTACCAGGTCTCACCACGTGGAGGTTGCTGCGACTGGAGACCCGGAGATAGAAGGAATCAAACTTCCTTCGATCTCCCTCTACATAGAGTATACATACGTAGATGCATACTCTACATAGAATTGACGAGCTTAATACTAAGTACGAAACCGTACAAATCAAAGAAAACAAAGTCCCTTTGATATCCAAAGTCTAACTCTGCCAAATAATTATTTGAACTAAGAGGAGCAACACGACGCGACCATGAAAATGAACTTACTGAATCAGTCCCGTTTCCTCTGGTGGGTCTGATTCGAGAGAAAGACGATCGACGTCTCCGCCAGTACTCTACTCCCTGCATACCTGCTGCCGAGGGCCCAGATCCGACCTTACAGTGTACGACGTAGATAGCACCGCGTCGGGTTGCCCTGCCCTGGCGACACCAGGTATGTCTGAGGGTCGTAGAGTCCCGAAACGGAGTACTACTCTCTGCACAACGTCAGGAGTCCAGGACACGACTTGCATCCGCCTGACGGCTCTTTTGAGCTGCGCTGCGCCGGGAGCCTGGACTTTGCCTGACTCGTACAGAGAGTAGAAGATTCCTCGGAGGCGTCGATTGACCCTCTCTCAAATCAGATCCACTAGAGGACGGCAACCGATCTCGGCCAATCACATGGTTGATCACTACACTTATCACATGAAGCAATAGTGACCGAACCGGAGCACGATGTTACGAGCTCAATATGGACCTACGAACAAACAAAAGAATTCAACAAATGATTAATAATTATTTGCCAGAGGACAGACACTCGTACACGCATGCCTTAAAACTAACCAAAGCAAACTAAGGTACCCACAAGCAATACCAAGCGTAAAAAATACAAAAAAAAAAAAATAAATTGAGATAATTTATCACTCTGTTCCTGGCAATAAAATTATTTCGAACGTACGACGGGAAGCAGTTTCTGCAAATATGGAAAATTCAGTGGAGATCCGTGAAAAAATAAAATTGTGCGATAAATCATCGGGAAAACTTTGGTAGCTGGAAACACGGTCGAAGTTACATAATAACTTTTGCCGGAAAGAATTGGCGTGCATTTTCAATCGTACGCAAAAAAACCAATGCAGTTGCAATAAAACCGCACGAAATGCACCGATGTGCACACGAGTAAACCGCATCCGACTAATTTATTGGACCGCGCTCTGCCTTTCCCTCTTTGTCATAACGGTGAACAGAGACGGAGACCGAGGGAGGCGATTATATAGGTTGAGGTATTTAAATGGAAACTACCGTACATACCGGGTGAACCATGTAACTCGTCCGACCGCTAGGTACTTTTGTCGTTAGCGTATCGAGAAATATTTTCGTATCGTGAACGTTGCAATTCAAGTTGTACGTCAAACTGTCGATACGAGATTCTTTTCGCGTACTTTCTTTCTGTTTTTAGGGTTATCTTAAACTTTTCATGTATGATCTTCGGTAGTATCTTCTGTTTAGTGTCCCTTTTTTTGTTATAACGTAACAATAATAGTAGATTCAGGAGTCTAGTAGTCATTTAATATCGTCCATTTTTCTTAACACTCTAAATGAACTTGAAAATTATTACGTATAAAAATTAATTATACACCTTTATATTTGGTCATCTATGACTGCAGTTTAAATAAAAATATTTTGTCGGCATTCTTCTACGTTAAAGTACAAATCTTTGTAATAATGAAACATTTACTTATTTATTTTTACAATTATGCTCTTTTGGAATGTGTTCGTTTCACAGAATTAATTTTTACGTCTAATAAAACACTGTTAAACTGCACCTGTCTGAATACTCGTATGATAATCCATAAAAATAATAGTAAATAATACTGTAAGCAATACTGTCACTAATATTCTACAAGTAATAATTCTAATGCTCTCTAATATTCTTCAAGGACAAAGTCCTGTATGAAAAACATTGTTCTCCAAATCATCCCCTTTCCAATTATACCATGAATTCGAGAGTATCCTGTAGGTTACGAGTAAGAAAACGAATAATATGCTCGATTTATTCGACCAGCCACGCAATTCCTCCTTATCCCCTATCAAATAATCCGCGTCGCGACTTCTATCGCCATTATCCGCAAGTAAAGTAACAACTCCGTCGT